AAAAAAAAAATACAAACTTGTGGAAGCTAAACAACTCGCTACAGAATGAAAATTGAACCAAGACAGATATCAAGAAGGAAATGTAAAACTTCTTTAGAATTGAATGAAAATGAAAACCCAACATACCCAAACAAACCTATAGGACACAATGAAGGTAGTTCTAGGAGGCAAGTACATAGCACTAACTGCCCACAATTTTTTTTCCGAAGGGAGAAATCTCATATTAATAACTTAATATCACACCTAAAACTCTAGGACAAGATAAAATAACACTCAAAGATAGAATATTGGAAGAAACAGACTCATGGCAAAAAAGCATTGAGGCAGAAACCAGAACACTACAAAAATCTATGAAATAAAGAGTTGATTCTTTGAGAAAGCTTGTAAGATTCACAAATATTTATCCCAATTAACCAAAGAACAGAGATATATCCAATTAATAAAATTAGAGATTAAAAGGGATGTTACAGCTGACATTGAGGAAATCCAGAGACTCATAGGACTATAGAAACTATGTACTATAGATACCTATATTCCAAACTGGAAAAAAATCTAAAAGAAATGGATGAATCTCTTGATATATATTGCCTACTAAAATCAAATCAAGATGAAATAAATAACTTAAAGAGACCCATGATCCCAAGTGAAATAGAAGCAGTAATTTAAAATCTCCTGACTGAAAAAGCTTTTACAAGAATCTTATAAGGTCATGATGTCTCGTCACAGCATCCTATTTCATCACCATAAATTAAAGCTGGATATGAACAACAAGAGAAATGGCCCCTCTGAAACTGTAAGCAAGCCCCCAATTAAATGTTTTCTTTTACAAGAATGCCAACATCCCTCAAATTATTCTGCAAAACACAGGAACATTACCTAATTCTTTTTACAAAGCCACTATTTCCATGATACCAAAACCATGTAAGACCCAACAAAAAAAATTATAGGTCAAAATCCCTTATAACATAGATGTAAAGTTCTCAATAAAATACTTGCGAGTTGAATTCAAGAGCACATTAAAAGATTATCCATCATGATAAAGTGGCCTTTATTCCAGGGCTGCAGGATTGATTCAGCACATGTGAGCCAACCAAGTCATCAACAACACAAATGGACTCAAGGACAGTCACCACATGATCATTTCAATTGATGACAAAAAGGTCTTTTATACAATATAACATCCCTTCATAATAAAAACCTCAAGAATAGTAGGGATACAAGGCACATAACATAATAAAGGATATTTATAGCGAACCCACAGCCAAACTCAAAATATTTCCATTAAAAACAGGAATAAGATGAAGTCCACTCTCTCCATCCCTATTCAAACATAACATAATAAAGGATATTTATAGCGAACCCACAGCCAAACTCAAAACATTTCCATTAAAAACAGGAACAAGATGAAGTCCACTCTCTCCATCCCTATTCAGTATGGCACTCAAAAATCTTAGCTACAGCAAAAAGAAAACTAAAGGAGGGCAAGAGGATACAAACAAGTAAGGAAAAAACCTGAAGTATTCTTACCTATACATGGTATGATATTATGCATAAAAGACCCCAAAGATGACACCAGGAGACGTCTGCAGCTGATAAACACCTTCAGCAACGTAGCAGGACATGAAATTAATACATGAAAATCAGAAGCCTTCCTATATACAAACGGCAAACATACTGATAAAGAAATCAATGAAACAAATAGCTTTCACAATAGCTTCAAAAACAAATGCCTTGGAATAACTCCAAACAAGTGAAAGACCTGTGTGATAAAAATTTTAAGACACTGAAGAAAGAAATTGAAGAAAACGTAAGAGGATGGAAAAATCTCCGGTGCTCATGGATTGATGGGATTAATATTGTGAAAATGGCTATCTTATCAAAAGCAATCTACAGATTCAATGCAATTCCCATCAACATTCCAACACAGTTCTTCACAGAAATTGGGGGGAAAATCTTCAACTTCATGAAGAAACACACACAGAGAGAAAAGCAAAACAAAACAGTATAGCTAAAACATTCCTGAATAATAAAGGTATCAACAATCCAGGCTTCTCGGTATACTACAGAGTGATAATAATGAAAACAGCATGGAACAGACACATTGATTAATGGAATAAAATTGAAGACCCAGACATAATTTCACACACCAATGTCATCTGATGTTTTACAAAGAAGCTAAAATGACACAATGGAGAAAGGGCAGAATCTTCAACAAGTGGTGCTAAGTCAACCCAGCTAGCTGCATGTAACAAAACAAAAATAGATCCATACTTATAATATGAAGTTTTAAGATTCACAAATCTTTATTCAAATCAACCAAAGGACAGAGATATATCCAAATTCATAAAATTGGAGATAAAGGGGGATATTACAGCTGATATTGATGAAATCCAGAGAATCATAAGACTATAGAAACTATATGTAGTATAGAAACCTGTTTAGACCTCAACTTCAAATGATCAAGGTCCTCAACATAAGGCCAGATACCCTGTATCCGATGGAAGAGAAAATGGGGAATAAGCTTAAACTTATTGGCACAAGAAAGAACTTTCTGAATAGCACACAGCTAGCAAAGGGGCTAAGACCAGCAATTAGTAAGTGGGACCTCATGAAACTGAAAAGCTTCCCGACAGCAAAAGACACCATCATGCCAAGTGGCAGCCTACAGAATGAGAAAACTTTTATTAATTATATATCTGGTAGAGAGTTGGTATCTAGAAAATATATAGAACTAAAAGAATTAAACATTATGAAAAGGAACCAATTTAAAAATGGGCTGTAGAACTAAACAGAGACAGATGACGGCACAGGTAGGGGACAAGGGGAATACAAGCTGAGACCACCACTATGGAAATCAGTGTGGCAGATCCTCTGAAAGCTGCAAATCCATCTACCACAAGACCAAGCTCTACTGCTCTTGGGAATATACCCAAAGGACTCTAAATCTTACTCAGGGATGCTTGCTCTTCGATGTTTATGGGTATTCTATTTGTAATAATAGACAGAAATTAGAAACAGCCTTGATGTCCATCAATTATGAATAGATGATGAAAATTTGATACATTCATTTATTTACACAGTGGAATACTATTCAGCTGTTAAGAAAATGAAATTATGAAATTTGCAGATAAATGGATAGAGCTAGTAGAAACAGCTATCCTGAGTGAGGTAACCCAGACCCAAAAAGACAAATATTACATTGTTTCTCTTACATATGAATGATAGCTTTTAAGCTTTACATATGTATATTTCTATACAGAAATGTGTATAAATAATCAGAGGGTAGGTAGGCAATAAGAGATAAAGACGGAGTCTCTTACATATGAATGATAGCTTTTAAGCTTTACATATGTATATTTCTAGCCAAATAATCAGAGGGTAGGTAGGTAATAAGAGATAAGGACGGAACTGAACAGCACACAGCTAGCAAAGGGGCTAAGACCAGCAATTAG